AATGTAAAATGTACCATCAAAGAAATGTCATAATCTTTCCATGTTCTTAACTTAAATTTATCATCATTGAAACAAAAAAAGATGATAAACAAAAAAAAGACAAGACATATGAATTTCAGAGTAAGAAACTGACAAACACGGATAATAATTTCTGATCACCTAAACAAGCCACAATCTAGAATCCATGAAGCAAAGGCAAACTCCTACCTCCTCCTAATTATTTCAGTGGAACCTCCCAATGATAAAGGGGAATAAAATGAAAACTTCCAACCTGCCTGAAGTGAGATTTGCTGTGTTCCTCAAAATCCAAGAGTGAATTCTAAGAAACAATAGAGATTAAGAGTAGGAAGGATTTATTGGGAAAGACAGCTCCTGAGGGGCAGGAGGGAATCCAAAAGTGGGAGACCAATGAGCCCACTTTTCAGAGGAAGTTTTATAGAGCAAAGTTACAAGATGGGTACAAAATCATCAGGTAGGTGCAATGGGGGTCAAAACTACGATCGACTAATAAGATTATAAGTACAGCTTCATAGGCAGGTCACACAGCAAGTGTACATGGAAAGAACAATGACCTTTTCTTTAAGGAAGGGATGAATCGGCAGGTCCGTGCCACCTACCTGGGTGACTGACAGCTACTTAGATTGTACTGGACCAGGTGACACCAATTGTCTTATCCCCTGTGGAGGTAGGTAGGCCTGGTCATTACTGACTTCCTTGAGGGCCTAGCCCTGTCTGACTGCCTGTAATATTTTTACCTAACTTGGTTGTATATAATACAACCTCTATCAAGGGCTCTTAAGATTAGTTCTCTGAAGAACACCCCCACCTGCCATCACCCCCAACTACACTGACCTTTTAGCTAGAAGTAGCCAGAGTGCACTTCACCCCTTTTCTTCTAATGGCAGTTAGGGACACATCCTCAGAAGGGGGAAATGTAGTGGCTTAGTACAAGAATGCAGTCAGAGAAGCCTAATTATAGGATCCCATAAAGGAAAATACCCCATCATTATAAACTAACTCAAGCAGCTGGTCAAGCTTAAATATGTAACTAAACAAAAAAAAGGATAAAAACTGTAATGCAGAGGGAGACCAGGGCCTTTCCTCACAGAAAGATATGCTAAGATAGTTAACAGTTCCTTCCTACCTAGGACTTGGACTTCAAGGATACTTTGAGAATACATTAGAAATTCAAGATAACCAATTTCTTTTTGAATTCTTTTGAACTAATTTTATTTGAAAGACCTTCTCCCCCATCTACAGTGCAGAGATCTAAGACAGAAAGCATGTTGACTTCTTTCCTCTCTTGGCAGGCATTCACCAAGAGTTTTTTCCTTCTGACTACTTCTAATACGACGCAAAATTCTTCTTGTCCTCAAAGGTAGCCTTCAGTTTTGTAAGACCAACAAAACCTGGACTTATACAAAATTAACTACTTTATTCAGCTATACTATTTTTTTTCCTGTACACCTCAAGCATTATGGTTTGTATCACTTGTTTCTCTGAGCACTAAATAAGATTTTCCAAGGGCAGGAAGGTGTTTTTGTTTTTGTCTGTTTGTCTTTAATTACCTATCCCTGGGCAGTGCACACAGAAGATTTGCAATAATCTGTTGTTGAATAAATGAAACAAAAGTCAGAAGGCAAACTTTTGTATGGTTTTAATACATGCCAGACAGCGTTCTAGGTGCTTTGCAAATATTACCTCATTTAAACTTCTCAGAAACTACCTAGTACCCATGACTGTTATTATCATCTCTGCTCTCCTCGGAGGAATCAGAGGACAGCGATATGTCCGTAATATGTGGTAGCTCTCCACGGTTAACCACGAGCAGCTAACTCCAGGGTGGGCTCGTACTCACCATGCCCTCCAGAGTGGCGCTTGAAGACTCCACCTTCCTGTTCTTCTGTGGTGTTTAATTCCAGACATGTTGTGGCAAGACTGCCTTGGTCCATTAGCAAAGACAGTTTACAGATGGCTTTGCCGAAACAGTTCTTACTGCAAGACTCAGTTCAGTGGAACTGAGTTTACTTGTAAATCAGATGACGGACAGTACCCTCCAGGAGAAAAAATGTGACCTCTAGAACATCTGAATGGAATCTAGCAGAGCATCCAAGCGAGGCGCTGGCCCAGATCAGTGTCACTGTAAGCTTAGTGGACGCTCTCACTTATCACACAGGCTGCTGGGCCTGTCTCTGCAGAGTGGCTCAGGGATTCACTTCAACCCTAAACCTAAAGGCACAAGCCATACGTCAGCCTGCAGGCAGAAGCACTTGAACATCGAGGGTGACCACTGGACTCTGTCCACAGGTTGGAAGCGCCTCCCCCAGATGAACAAAGTGGAAGATTCAATAAAGCCTGCATACTTGAAACACTGCATAGTTTCGCAGAGGACACTTTAACTGGAGGCCACGTAGCAGTGCTCCAAGCAATGGTGCTTCCTGTCCTAGCACAAAGACCTTCCATGATCCTACCACAAACTTGACACACCCAGCTCTCTGGGATGAGCACTGGATAGGAAATCTGAAGTCAAGGCCTGGGGAGGCGGAATGTGCCGGTAACGCCAGTGGTTAGGCTGAGGCTGGAGGGCTGACATGCACCTGAGGCCAGCCTAGGCTGTATGGTGACTTAAGGCCAACCTGAACTACACAGTGAAGCTCTGTCTCAAAAATCCAAAATAAAAGAAAATTAGAAGTCCTAACATCTAGTTAAGCTCTACAGCTAATTGTGACTTTAAAAAAAAAATCATTGCACCTCTCTGTACCTCAGCGTCCCTCTCCGTACAACGAGGGCCCAATCTGTGTAAGCTCTACCACCACAGTCTTACAGTTCACCCTGTCGTTTTGCTTCGTGCTGAACATCAACCAGGGTCCTGGGATCGCCAACAAATGGACCTCATCACACAACTTCAGGCTGATATGTGCAGCCCGAAACAGGGCAGGATGGTGGCCCGCTGACTCTTGGACAGAGAACAGAAAATCGCAGTTCCCATCAGCGGGAGAAGAAATGCTTTCTGGAAATCCCGGAAAGCCGGCCTCGTGCGTCACTGCATAACCATAACTGGCTGGGAAGGCGCAGCAGCCTGCACGACACCGTGATGCCCAGTTAGCAGGGCTGGAGCCTGCTCTGACCTGGCTGCAACGGCAGCGGGCCAGACGCGCCCTCCGCTGCCCCCAGGCCCTTCCACACCGGCCATCAGGGGAGAGCGGGCCGAACACTCGCTGACCGATCCAGCTGCTTCTGCCAAGAGCTGGATCACTGTTTATACAGTCGTAGTCTAAAGAGTAGCACCACCAGCTGAATCCTATTAGCAGAGATAATTTCAACATGGACTTGCATCCAGCGAAGATCAGTTTGCATTTTGCCTGTATTCTGGAGCATGGGACAGACAGTGTCTCAACATCCCAGACAAAAGACTGCATTCCCCTACATTTATGCTATAGAACTTCATGTGCTTACTAAATGATGAAGACACCCGTGACCACACGTGTCCTGCTCTCTTCTCTGTGGTCTCCACCTGCACTTACAGCCGTGGCTGACCTGCACATCAGCCATGCACAGAAAGATCTGCTGAATACAGGGACACGACTGTCGCACAGAAAAAGCAGAGAAAAAGTCTATGACCTATTTTGGTAACCATTTAGATACGGCACAGAAAAATTATAGATGTACATACAATCTGAACAACACTGCTATTTTAAACATTAGTAGTAGTACATGTTCACAGTACATGGTCATATTCACTGTGGGGGGGGGTGGCGTGTGTGCGCGGCACACTGTAGCTCTTTCTCTGTCCCCTTCCCGTCTCCCCAATCTCTCAGCCCTTCCCAATTACTGCTCCTGTTATGAAGTGGGTTAGAGGGAATGCTGCTTCTGGGGTAGATGCAATTATTAGAGCATTTTTAAAACAATAAACTCAATTTTGCAGTTGGAAAAATAAGGTATTGCTATTCTGCAGATAGGTTTTTTTTTTTTAATATATTTGGTACAGGGTCTCGCTACACAGCTCAGACTCACAGTGATCCTCCTGTTTTCAGCCTCGCTAGCACAGGGATTACAGGCCTACCAGCCTGGTTGGCTCAGCTTGCCTGCCTGGGGGCAAGGCCAGCGCACCACGTGGTGGCACTGGGGATCCAATCCCAGTTCCTGCGCTTGCCTAAGCAGGCACTTAGGTCCGCTGAGCTATCTTGCCAGCCCTGGAAAAAATCTTTTACTTGTTATGGTTTGTGCCTAGATGTCCTCCCAAAAGCCTCATGGAGTTGTGGTGAGTGCAGGCTTCAGTAGCTTTGATTAATTCAAGATCCAGCGCTGGGATTTTGGGTGTGAGTGCTATACACGCCCTGGGGCAGGCGGCCTGCGAGCACGGTAGGAGGGAGGGTCTGGGGCTGGCTCCTGCCGCTCCTCCCTTTCGCTCTTGCTCCTTTTGCTGTGCCACCTGGCCTTGGAGCCAGCTGAGTACGGACTGAAACCTCCACACAAACTGAGCTAACTAAACCTTTCCTTCCTTAATTCTGGGCCTCAGGTATTTTGTCCCAGCAACGAGAGAGAAGTAACCGAGACGCTCCTCAACAAGCACTGATACACACGGGCGTTATTCTGTGGATCTTGAACGACTAGTCAGCATACCATACTAATAAAATTGTTACGAATAAAATGACAATACTTGCTATAATGTAAACTTTTTTAATAATGTAAATTAATAGCCATGCGAAGTTACAGCGTGTAAAACATGTCCCATATATTAATGCAGCAATCTGGTCCGCCTAGACTGGGGCAGCCCGTATCACCGCAGCACTGTCAAGAGGCTCTTCCCACAGCACACGAACCTCAGAGGTCCTGGGAAACAACTCAGGGTCAGGCCGCGTGGGGCGGGGG